GCTACAAACGAGTACGACCCGTGGTAATGGAAATCGAAGCCCCCGTGCTCGTATTCGGCCAGCAACTAGGAGGGAAGAAAGGGAGGAATAGGTCATGCATGAGGAGGCGTTATGGGGAGGGCGAGGGCTGGATGCCCTCTAATAAAGCCGCCGGTCCGGGAAGTAATGGGATGGGGCACAGAAGGGATGAGAAAAAGAAAGAAAGTTGGGCGGTCAATAGTGACCTGCCTTCTCCCTCCTCACCTCAAGGGTCGGAGCCCCGAGAACTTGTCGAAAGACTAAGACATGCTTAAATCCACTCGTCCACAAGCGCTGCTCCTGCTCATTCACTCGCTCAGTGATGATAGAAACAGGATTCGCATTTGCCATGGAAAATCGCTTTCCTCCCTTTCTCATGTACGCGTGTATCGCATCCTCGACTGCTCTGGCACCGTCCTCCTGGCCTTTTGCCAGGAGGAGTTCCCGCATGGCATCGATGACTCGTCGGTACACTTTTCCCTCCTCTTCTTCACCTTTTTTGTCATCGACGCCCTCGGTGTCATCTCGCAACATGGTGAAGGAGGAAGCGGCGCGAGCCGAAGGAGACAGACCTTGAGAATTGTAAAAGTGCAAGGCCGCTGTGAGGGGTGTGGGGAGAGAGGTGTAGTCTAAAGACTCCCTTGACCCGTGGACGATAGGCCACGAGGACCTGTCCAACTCCCATTCCGCATTTGGCATCTCGTTGCCTTGGTGCAACGACCTCATGACCGTGAAGTATGCGGGGCGTCTTCGTGAGCTTTTGAATGCTGTATATGTGTGCAACGGGGACCCAGGAGGTGAGGCAGCTGAGTATTCTCTTTGTTGCTTTCCCGATAATATGGACACAAAAAACATAAAAATTCATGGAGCGTATTATTATCGTGTTGGCCATCCCCTACCTATCGAACGTATTCGTACATCAGCACGGTCCAAACCAGACACAATTCTCACGCTTTTTTCTTCGGGAACCTCTGAATATCCGGGTATCATGATGCTGCTCCACCCCCTCACACGTCCAAGCGTCGTCGCCCTCCCCTCGGGCTACCGAACCCTTTTGCGCCCAATTTCTTCTATTCATGTAAAATTCGCGTCAATCATGATGTAAAAATCATGAAGAATCGTGAAGCGAGTAACTCTGACAGAAAAGCAAGTTATCGTTGCATTGAATGCTAATGAAACCCCAGTGACCAGCGAAAGATGGATAAGTAGCAACGATGTTGTCGAACAATACATCCAGCATTTCGCGTCACGCGCGTGAAAACTATTTAGTAGAAATTGCGCAAACCGCGCAAATTACACACATTCTCCCGCGTAAAAGTACACGGAGTCTCAACAAAGACCCTCATCAGTTATGTCGTGATCTCCTCCATCCCGAGGCCATTCATTTTTATATAAACATTCACCCCCTCAACCTCCATTAGCTTGTACCCAAGACCAGAATCCTGAATGGACTTCATCATTTCCTGCTTGATATCTTCCGATGCCCAATCATTCAATTCTTACCTCATGTCACTGAACCTTTCAATTAGATTCGCCAACCAAATATTTCTGGCAAAATATAAATATGGAGATCGCTCTTTTTCATCGAGCGAAGCATGTTTGCAGCCTCGACTTGGACCTGGTAAGCACAGGGGTCCACACGTGCATATTCACAGGACAGGAAATCTTTGTTTTTGGCCGCACACCACGGTCTCCGCTAAACTTCGTCACTTCAAGAATGTCTGCTTGCGACGCTATCCATCCGTACCCATCACGGCTGTCGTTTTCTTTGGTCCCAGTTGTTTTTCCGAAGCCCGCACCACTTTACTTTTTTACGTGTCCAAGCCTCCCCTGGCCTAGAACCAAGCCCCGCTGCCGTCCTCCCCCTCTCTCACGTCCCCTCTTTCGGGGCCTTCCAAGGCGGTGAAAATTTCTTTGAGCTCGTCCATTTCTGAGCCTTCCCTCATCGCATCCTTGCCCTCCTCGTCCTCTCCTTTCCTCCTCTTTTCTTCGTACAAAAAAGAATCCCAAAAGGCGTCCATGCCGTCGCACAGGGCTAAGATATCTTCCTCCTCTCCTAGGTTTTCCATGCTTTGTTTCCCACCCATAATGACACAGCGCGCTTCCTCCCACGCTGCATCGCAGAGACTGTCTTGTGCCGACGGGTGCGTATGACAGACGAGTGAGATCGGCGCTGGGGAAGGATGGGTGATGGAGACCCCTTCCCACAGGGGTGACGAGCAGGGAGACGAGGAGGAAGGAGAAAGGAGCGGTCCCATATTCGTGCAAGAGAGAGAGGGCACCGAGGAGCGGGGAGAATGGAAAGGGGTAAAGGCGGATGAGGTCGAACGGCCGGCCGACGCGCACCTCTGGGCTTCCTTGCTGCTCACTGCCAAAGCATGGGGAGGCACCGAAGGCGTGGTCTTTCCCCTGCACTGCGTGGATTCCGTAGCAACCGGGGAGCGGAAGGCTGCCGCGGCGCAGGCTTTGCTCGTAGAAGAAGGACAGGGGGAAGACAAGGAGGAGGCCGCAGACTGGGTGGGGGCCCGGTCAGTCTTGGCCATGGGCCGCCCACGTCCCGAGAGGGGGGGGGAGGAGCCAGTGCCAGCGCTTCCATATCCACCCAAGGTATCGTCGCAGAGGATGGACACGTCGCTGCACGTGGTGGCCGTGCTGTCGGCGGGGGAGATCACACGTTGGAATTCAAATCGCTTGCGTACACCCTCCTTTCCCCCTGGAGCCCCCCCGCTCGAAAGGTTTCCTTCCAGCGGTCTCTTGGTCCTCTCAGTAGTGTACCCCGCGCGCCGTCCATGCGGGAAGCAGTGTCGGTCCACAGGCTTGCTGCTCGTCCTAGCTATGTCCTTCGTGTTGCCGCCCCTGTACTCTTTTTGACAGCGCAGGTCAGCAGCCTGTACGTGGGAAAAACCTTGTTTCATGAAAAAGGGCAGCATGCATACTTCCAAAAGGAAAGATTCTTGGATGGGCCGAAAGTTTACGTGCTGGGCAGGAGGAGAGGTGGTGTCCTGCCGCAGTGGGTGCAGGGAGAGGGCTCGGGCATTCTTCGTTTGCCTCTCTGGCCCAGCTGTGACAGAGGAGAGGAGACCTGGCCTTGAGTACGAGGACGGTGCGGGACGTTTCCGTGATGAGGGCAGCGTGTCCCGCATGGACTTAAGAAAATTTTGAACGGCCAAGGAGTCGGGGACCAGGGCGGGAACACAGCTCGGGCGTGGTCGGTGCCTTTTCGGGTTGCATCTCCTCTGCCCAATGCTGGGAACGGAGATTACAGGGTACGTATTGGCTGCTGTCTCTGGTGAGATTTCTTCATATAGGGGGGAAGGTGATAGTGACATGGGGTGGCTTTCCGAATTCCTTGTGGGCAGCGGTCGCTCCATGTCTTAGCCGAATCTATCGATTATTCAGAGGTAAATGTGAAAGAGTAGCTTCCCCGTCTTGGAAAAAGCGGTGTGAATTGCACACAAAGGCGTTGAAGAAGAAAAATGCACACAATCGCAATGCAAAAGTGGTTGCTTCCGGGAAAACGAAGTGGATGCGCCGACTAGGCGGAGGGCTACGGATTTCTGCAGTGAAGGCGGAATATAAAGGCTCAGAATAAGTCAATAGAATAAGAAGATTACCAGAAGTTACAAATTGGCTAACATTCAAAACAGTAGTCGCATGAAAGGCTGTGAAGAAACCAGGCTGACTATACACAGGAGATCAGCAAATGAAATTGAGAAGGGCGTGATCGGGGTGTTACACATGGGCCTACGTCGCAGGGTGTATGGGCCGCCGATACAGTCCGTCAAGCCCATGCACAGCACAATAAATATGACACAAAGTGCTTTATCAGGCTTGTATGTTTATATACATCGTCATCCAGGTTGTGGGTCATGTGTCTCGATCCCTGTACTCAGGAGTCCGACCTTTGCCCTGCGGCTTGATCGTGAGGATGGGTAACGGATGCACGGAGGAATCTCATGGGCTACGGCGCAGCCTTCGCATGCCCCCAACACATCAGAGCGCCTCGTTTCGGAAACAAAATTGACATGATAATGATCTTATGATCGTTAAGTACATTTGAATGTCTGTTAGACTTTTTATTCGGCTTGGGAGCCGAAGCTTTACCGCGGGAGATGGAGGGACGGTAAATTGAATTTTTGCACGTACCCAGAAACTCTGCCGCCGCGGAGGCCGTCGGGTACATTGATTCATCCTTTTAAGGGAATTTGTCCTTTTGTATCATTAGCGAAGAGTTTGGCGACTCGGATAAACTACACTTTACAGGCTACCAATAAATGAAATGTTCAATGAAGGGGAAGACATGTTAAGCTATTGCCGGGGCAAATATGATCAGGGATTAACCTAGAATCAACCGACCCTACGAAGACTTCCAGAGGTCGTCCAGGATTGAGCAATCCGGTGTGTGATCGCCATTTAAGGTCCTCAAAGATGGGTTTGAGAAAATCGATTTCATATTCCAAAGATGGGACGCATTTCAGGTGCCATCTTAATTGAGATAAAGACTTCTCATGCTTAAAGAAAGAAGAGAGTGGTTTGTGTCTACTCCGAGGATTTAGATCCCCATCCCCTTTGCTAGGAAAAGTAGCCGCATTATGCGTGACGCTTGTGACGCACAAAATTGTCGTAAGGCCATCAAGTCAAGTGAGGCAGCTGTAAGCATGTCGTGTGATTTCTCTCGACAGATTTCTCAAAGGCTCGCTTTTTCCTGCTGCTTGTAAAGCAGTGATTGGGCTGACTTAGTAACTGTAAAGGCGTCATCTTTTCTTGTTGTAAAGTGATCGTCCATGATCTTTGTTGTCAGACTGCATGCGAAGGCTGGCGACTAATTTGGGTGAATTGGGAGAGGGATTGGAAAGATAGGGAGAAGAAAAGGGTGGTGAGACACTTGATGAAGATAACCATTGGGGGTGTATAAGAGTATGCGGCGCATTAAGCGCAGCATTTGTAAAATAGAAAGCGAACCAAAAGGAGCGGAGGATGATGAGCGAGCGAGCCCCGGAACATTTTATTACAACACATCTTACCATGATTTACATGCGGAGAATGCCTAAGCTGATTAGATCTGTTGATAAGTACTCCGCGCGTTGATGATATTCTCCATTTTCTCATGCCTTTCAGCCATGTTATTCATTAATAGGGTTTCAAAATGATGCCTTAGGGGAGTTGAAAGGATGGACCACGTGGATATCAGAGAGTGAGACAAACACGGTCGTTCGGGGGAAGAGTCTGAGCACTTAATGGCCGGAGTGAACAGTCGCAAAAGCAGCCGACGCTTATGAAAATGAAGAGAGGCAACAGATGATGGACAAAGGGCGTAACCTGCGTGAGGGGAAGAGGCAAGGATGAGAGAGCGAAGAAATGAAGAGGAATGGGAGTGATGCAGGAACAAAGAGCGAGACGATGAAGGGACCGACAGTGGCCTGACATGGAGAAGTCAACATGTGGGAAAGATGCGGTTGATGCTTGAATATGAATGGGGAAAGGCGATATACTGTAATTTTGCTCGATTAGCCATTATGTATGCTTCAAGGTTTGCAGTATAGGAGCTAATTCAAGTAAATACTTAACAGGACCAACATGTCGATATCCCGGGCATCTTGATAAAATTTGAAAGCTTGGAAGGGGGACTGATAAATATCTTGTGGTTTGAGTAGAACATAATAATATTGTTATTATTATTAACAATAAATTTATTATTGATTATAATATTTATACCAACAAGCTTAAATTGAAGTATCTTTGTAGGGAGAGGCTGAGAAAACCTCAAGTTCTGAAGGCGAAGAGAGAAACGAAAGAAATGTCACTTCGATATGCACTTACAAACATGTCGCAAAATTTCTTCGCGCCTTGTCATTATGTACGTAAGTATAAAAAATGACTTGCATGATGGCATGATCATCATGGTGACGCGGCCAACATGTGGAGTTGGTGGCTTTGAATAATAACCACGGTCTCGACAACGGAAGCAAAAATTTGAAAAATAACGGCTCGTTGTGCCGACCGGAACATACCTCCTGACCCTAGTTAGGCTGCTTTCAAGTCGTAAATCGATGTATTTTTCCCACCAATCGTGCAAATATGTGTTAAATTAAAACATCATCAACATTTTTTTGCAAGAGACCTGTTTTTGAGCTAAGTTACGTACAGTGTACGCACTTGGCAGGACCTCATTGAGAAACGTCTAATCAATGTACTCGTGTTCCACGGGTCGGGGCGGGGCATCCCAACCCTTCGTGCGACTGCGGAGGGTAGCCGTTGTACGAAAGGTCATGTTGTCGTTATACGTGCCTTCTTCGAAATCACCAGTCTTGACTTCCTTTCTTGATTTGAGCCCTTGATGCTTGTGTCGTACAGTTCTTCCCAAGTACTGCCAACATGCTCAGAAAATGTGCCGGTGCTATTAAACATCAAGTCTGACTAGTTCTACTATCAATCCGTCGCCTGAGGGAGCAACATACGCCCATATGGAAGCTTTCTGGATGGCTTTGCGCCCCATGCATCGGTTACACCCATTCGCACCACATTGATTACCTCTTCCATACAGACTGTCACAGATCAAAAACTTCGATCCAAATACAGCCATGAGCGCCTGGAACACTGAATTTACGTGTGCCACTTCTCAAGCATCCCCCTATTCTGCGGCATCTACGGCATCGCTTGCCTCCGCCTGGACGACGTCTTCGACAGGTTCGCCTTCTTCCTCCGACACTACCTCTGCTTCAAATGCGTCGAGGGACGAGCAAGAAATTTGTGCCTTCCTCGACACTACATCGGACAATGCTACACCCTCAGATGCTCGGGTCTGCGTTGAGAATGCCGTGGCCCATGTTTCCATTCCCGCCGGTGCCCCGCATGCAGCGGCCGGGCACGTCAGCCTGACGGGCACAACGGCAGCGCAAGAAAATGCTTTGGATGGCAATGAACGGGCATACATCCCATCCGAGAAGACTTACGCGCAACCACTGCATGCCTTGCAGCCCGATCCTCAACCGGTGTTGCAGGCTCAGGACACAGGGGCTGGAGACGGAAGGTCGACGGCGTCCGGGGGGGTACATGATAGCAACCTGAATCCAACTTACTACCAGCCCTTGGGCCAAGGCCATCCGCTTCCTCCTTTTAGCCCAAAAGACTACGTCTTTGACTTGTGGCATGATTTTGACGGAGTCTCCCTCCTCTCGCCCATGTCCCTCTCAGCGATCGACAGCTTCGATCCGTTTACCACTTCCTGTGCCTCTCCCACAGGAGCGGTGACAGCCGCAGCCGCCGCAGCCGCCGCAGCAGCTGCTGTCAACGGCTGCCCTCCCATTCTTT